CCCCCCTCCTCCTCCTCCTCAGCTCTGATAACTTCATCTCAAGGGCACAGAATAGGGTTATGCACGTAACACAATCACAGCCGGACACCAGGTTGTTGCCACAGCGATTACGAATATTATGCTGCTGAAACCTCACACAAACGGGACACAGAATAGAGGGCATGGCTCGTAACGAACTCATGCCTTCCTCCCCTGAAGCCGGACTGGGCCTACCGATTACTAAAGTAACCCTTCCACCCTTTCCCCAGACCCCCGTTTTCAGGCAAACCAGACGCTACGTCATACAAGTGATTCGTTTAGTTTTACTGTTTTGGTGTCTTAGAATCAGCTGACTATTACAGGCAAAACAGTAGACTTGGCCACAAGCAATCCGAAAGCGGATCACCGCAACAAAAACACTACATAAACTTAATGGGAACAGGCCACGATAGAGCGACCAATAACCACCAGCTTCAACAATAATATTATATGTCTATTTAGTTCAGTTTTGTCATAATATTTTAAAGGCTCTCGCAACACAAATAGGTCATATAAGCTATAAGTGCTGAAGACTTGAGGTGTTGGACAGCAATACAAAAAGAGAAGAAGATGGAGAGATAAAGGATGATAGATGTTTAATAGGAAAGAAGGAGCAAACCACACCAGAACGCCATCAACTACCCACAACAGAATCTCATAAATGAGGTCCAAAGTAACAACACAGCGTCACCCAAACCACATTATGGATATTACAAAAACGCACACAAATTTAATACCTAACTGGACTCGGAATGAAACGAAAAGTACTCTAACAAGTACGACAGAGACATTGGATCCCACTTTGATTCGGACCTCTAACATTAGCGAGGCAATTCCAAGTTCGTGACTGTCAGCACCACAGCGGCCAGTAAAACACCCCCCCAAAAAAAAAAAAAAAAAAAAAAAAAAAAAAAAAACCCCCCCCCAAAAAAAAAAAAAAAAAAAAAAAAAAACCATTAAAAAAACACATACCATTTTTACTTATCCTCGGTGGTCATACCAATGATAGTGTAAACATACACAGAATAATTACGTATTGAGTAAAAAGATCCACTTCGACACGATAACGACTATTTAGAGCAGGGGGAAAAAGTAAGACCGGCACATAGAAACAAGAGAGGAGAAGAAAAAAGGTATGCCTACCCCTCAGGCGCCGTCTAGCCACCCGCATAGAATAAATTACAGTTTAGAACGCGCCAAAAAGCACATCATAATACAGCATGCTGTATAGAAGTTTTACAGTTTCACTAACATATTGTCAGAGAAAGGTTTCAAGCAAAAGTTGCACATTAGACACAGCATCCAATTAAAAGCCTTGACACCGAATAGCTTGACATTGTTAGCCATCCAGCCACCAGCATAGAATAACCCACAGTATAGAACACGCCTAAAGGTATATTAGATCTATATATAGCACACTTAAGTTGTTTTACAATACAAGTTGACTAACACACAGTCAGATCAGAGCCCTGGTTTTTATAAGCAGAGGATGCAATGTCTTGCAAAAGATCACAACCTACAGACAACACATTTATAAGCCATGACGCCGAATCACTTGACAATGTGAGCCAAAACGCAATGACCATTTGACCACTGGTGCCTCTATAACAACAGACACGATGGATCCGATTACGTTGAACGTGTCAGCCTGTCACGTGACAGGTAAATAATGAGTCGGTCCAAAAGTGATCCGACACTTTACAAATATACATTATGAAGGTCAGAGAGGGTGAGCAGACAGTTTAGCTGGTTTCATGTACAAGGCAGACGGCCTGGTTGGAATCTCCGCTTGGGCATTCTTGGCAGTTTTTGGGGAGTCCTCAAGGTACTCCGGCAACCTGGTTTTGGCCCTATCAGAGGTGTAGGCTAAATTAGGAGTTTAAGTTTTAGTAAGAGTTTTATGGCCCTTGCAACCGTAAACAGATCGTGTACGTGTCGAAGATTAGAGGTACCTAACTAGAGAGTAACATACAAAGAAATGAAGGAGGGGAGAGGAGGATGATTGGTGTTTGACAAGAAAGATGGAGTAAACCACACCAGACTGCCAGCCAATCACCGACATTAATAAGGGCTTTGCGACACTTGAAAGTAAGGGGTTAATTTTAGGTTTATGTTTAGTGAGTGTTTCACAGCACTTACAACACAATAGGTCATATATACGTGCCCATGATTGTAGGTGTGACTAGATAGTAAAATACAAGGAAATGAACAAGGAGAGATAAGGACGATATACGTCTGATAGGAAAGAAGTAGCAAACCACACAAGAACGCCCGCCTACCACCTGCGCAAAATCGGAAGCACTGCCTCTAAAATAACGTTTCGGAGTTGACAAGGGCGTAGAACTAGCACAGTATAATTATCAAAGTACCAAAGAACATTGCATAAAATAACAGAGATTTAAAAGACACAGATTAGTTCTAGATTTTCAACAGGCCACTGACCTGTGTGCAATGGGACAGAAGTAAAAAAAGATACTGAGCACAGGTCCAAGTAGAGAGAATCACATTGACACAATAACGGTCATATAGAAATGGTGAAATGGTATGAGTTAAAGCTAAAGCCCCTATCAACACTATTAGGTTATTTAAGAGACGGGACCTCCTAATTTAACGTCCGTCTCCGATAGGACCGAGCCAAGTGGGAAGTTCGTGTAAAGTGTCTTCCCAAGGACACGACGTCGGGCCGAGCTAAGGCTCGAACCCCCGAACCCGCAATCTCACGATTACGAGTCCGGTAGCCTGACCACTAGGCTACCGACGCCACGGCCATAATAATATAGTGCAGGGAAGAAGAAAGACAAATAGACAAAAATAACAGACGCAAAAGATAGAAGCAGGGCCTACTATGGGCGCCGTCCAACCACCCACCGGAGCTACAGAATAATATAATTAACTTCCCCATGCCCAAATCGAGTTCCTGTGTTCTGCAAACCACGATGAA